CTGCGATATCGTAAATCCTTCAGCGGTTTAGCTCATTTCCCTGTGAAACCCACCGCCATCGATATAAGTTATATATCGATGCCCACCGCTTCCCCTTTCCTGGCCGACATTAACATAACTATTAGTGTAACGATTTACCCACACAAATCACAGGGTTAAGTTGTTGATTTTAAATGAGCAAAGTAGTAGTAGCCTAAGGTCACTCCTATCGCACCACCTGTCAGGGCAGGTGGGGTGAATTAATTGAGTTTAAAGCCCATCAGGCGGAAATGGTTGCTTCCGGTGCTACGTCACTTTGTGACGTCATAGGTGATGTGTAATTGGGGGGGGGGGGGGGGGGGTGTATGAGGGTGACCATATGGTTTTCAAGGTCATAGGTTTGTGTTTTAAAAAAAGGAAGCTATTCTACACTTGTAGTGTAGGATAGCTTCCTTGTTTTGTTTATTGTTTATTTGTATAAAACATGAGGGATGACAATAACTTACATACTATTACAATTAATAAGGAAAACATGTGCGAACGTACGTATCTAGAGTGAGCGTCTGCTAAAGTGTAAAACGAATGAGTTTATTGGTGGCCTTTATAAAGGCCGTTTTGTGTAGTTCGGCGACGCTTGTGTACTTGGATGTTTACTTCTTCAACTCCTCTATTGTATTATGGAGCTCTTTCCATCTTGCCATGTCTGCATTGTGCTCGGCCCATTCGATGTTGTCTCGAGGCTGAGCGCACCAAACACGATCAAATTTGCGTCGAATCTCTTTCTCCTCCTCTAGCAGTTGAAGTAGTTTTTTTTCCTTTCGTTTTCGCTCCTGCTCTTCTGCTTCGATGCATGCTTGGTGTAGGTCAGAGTCTTCAATATCACTTGTCCACTGTTGTTGTTGTTGTTGTTGTTGTTGTTGTAGGTTGGCCATCTTGTGCAAAGTAAACGAGAAAGGTTGAGTTGACTGGTGAAGAGCTGGATGCGAAGTGACTGTTGCGTGTAAAGAAGTGCAGGTCCCTGACGAAGTGGGCGGAGCTAAAGCAGTAGAGGTGGGGGAAAGTAGTAGAGGTGGGGGAGAGCATCATGAGGGCATCATTCCATCCGTTTTAAAAGTATTTTGATTCTACGTCCCTTGTCTTGTGAGTGATGTTTCCGTTTTTCTTGATACGTTTTACAATTACATTGACAATAGGAGAACGATTCACATTTTTTACAAGCCATTCCATCTACTTGACATTCAGGTGTTTTGAAACACTTTAGATTACAACAATAGTATTTTAAATCGTATTCCGATTTGGGATCAAAAGATGAATTGGAATTACACTGTGACATGTTGCTCGACTGAATTCTAAAACAAGAATGAAAAGCAATGTGTTGTGAGCTGCTATTTATAGTGCAAGAGTCAGCAGCTCTCATGCATCTGTCACAAGTTAGTCTACATTTTTCCATAGTAGGTTAACCATTTGTGTTAGATCGTGTATGTAATTTTGATGCTTGTCTTGATATGTTTTACACCTACATTTGCAATAGCCAACAGACTCACATTTTTTACAAGCTTTTCCATCAACTTTACTTTCAGGCTTTCTAAAACATTTTAAATTACAACAATAGTTATCCAAATCGTATTTGGATTTGTAAACAAAAGGTAAATTGTATTTACGCTGTGACATGATGCTCGGTGAATTGTTAAAACAAGACTGAGAGCAACTGCGTGTAAGACCTGTTATTTATAGTAAAAAAGTTCAAGGTCATTTGTTTGAATTTTAAAAAAAGAAACAACATATCAGCATATAGAATTAATTATATGCTGATATGTTGTTTCCTCTTTTAAATTTTTTATTTATTTTTTTAATGACAAAAACATTTAACAAACATATGTACATAGATGGTTATTTACAGAAAAAAACTTAAAACTAACATTGATGGGTGATGTGTAGAGATAGTTCAGTGGAATTGTTTCCGCAAACTCCGTGTGATACCAAATAGAGGGATCCTGGTTGAATACCTCGCAGGTCTTCGTTTTGTAGTTGCTGTACAAATCGTCTTGGAAGATAAACTTGAAATTTCGGTTCATCACCTGGTGAAAACGGTGCCTCGCTCAGTGATGCTAAAATTGCGTCTCCATGTGAAGTTTCTGTCTTCTTCAGCTCGTGAACGATGTAGTGTTTGTGTTCCTTCAATTCGTGACATTTCTTAGTACTTAGAATGCTGGATTTGGACTGGGTGTTGAACTGATCCACCAAAGACTGGAGAAACTGTTGTGAAGCCATTTTCTTGATTAGGACTACCCTGTGAGATGTTGCCTCTGCGATGTCTGGAGTAATACTGATGAGGATCCTGAGACTGTCCACTGTATTTATAGCACACGTTCCCCCCTCCACTGCTATTTCCTTCGTAATACTTCCACTGTTGCTGTTTGAATTTATTTTTGTCCCAATAGTGAAGAACTAGAAAATTAGCTAATCGGTATGCGTTTTGTAGTGCACATTGTGTTACTGTGCGATAAGAGTGATCTGTTAAAGTACAAATAGGTCCATAATTAATTTGATGATCCTTGTCCATTCTTATGTCGAAAACATCGTGATATGTATATTGTTGTATCCATTGTCTTTTTTCCGATCCTCTTGTATAAATATGGGAAAACTTGTTAGAAAAATGATACATGATATTGTTCAAGTGCTTATAGCTTATCAATCCTTCGTTCCACTGAATATGGTGAAAATGTTTGGTTATCCATTTGTTTGTTCTTCTTGCTTTGTCATTCAATTGGTTTACTGAAAATGGAGCTTCAAATATAAACGGGTATACGACATGTGTAATCAAATCTAAAATCACTAATTCTTTTATCACAAATTCATCTTTGTTATCACGAAATGCTTGAAATTCTATTACACAGGGTTTTATATCCATAATGTTTAACCCTATCTACACACCACCACGTATAGTGTTCAACTGAATTCACACCGCGCCTTGGTCACTCTTTTATACTGTTTTTCTTTAATTACACTTCTTGGGTTGCTGGTTCTTCTTGGTTTATAGTTTCATATTCTTCAACAGCTTCTATCGCTTCTTCATCAATTGATTCGAAGTTCCTTAACTGTCTCCACATACCAACTTCATGAGGCAATCTATTAAAAATAGATGTATCCACGTGTCCGTATAATATGGTGCTTTCCGGTTGTTTTTCCAGTGTATCAATTAAATACTCTTTGATGATTGAACTTGAGAATACAAGTTGTTTCATATATCTAGAGATAGGAGACGTTGCATGCATTAAAATGTAGAATTCTTCACGTGAGAGTAAAATTTTACTTTCATGTTGAGTTAAATCTCTAAATCGTACTTGTAGTGTTCCACGATTCTTTACTATGTCAATTTCATTGTCAGAATCCAAAAGTCGAATATTAGTTTTCCTTCCGCAAACATTAGTATTTAAGTAACATTCAATTAGATTTAAATGTTTTAGAAAAGATTCCCATGCCGTTTCAGAAAATATAACCATTTTTGTACCATGCTGCAAGATTACTGTAGGTGTATATTCCGAAGATTTCATTAGTCCAGCTGTTACACTTTTACCCAAACATAGTGAGATAGGATAGTAAATGCGTAGGAAAACTTCTTTCAAAATATTAATTGGGATTGTATCTTCATCTTTCCGCTTCCTTTTAGTGCCATTTTTTTTAGTTTTTTCTTCTTTTTCTTCCTTGTCCTCCTTGTCTTCTTGTTTTCGAAACTTTAAAAACTCTTCTATTTCATTGACGATTTCTTGATGGTTTTCTTGATCCAATAATGCTGCTTCCTCTGCATCCTTTTGTACGACTGATGGAGAACTCATTTTACTCATGATGTAGTGTAGGATGTTACCCATTCAACGAACGAGCAAAGACTGATTGGTGGTGTGCGAAGCTCCTCCTTTTATAGCCGACTGGTGGTTGTGGTGAAACTCATTTACAACACTGTTTTGACTAATCCCGTCAATGGTGTGTACGTTACAATTTTATCATGCAAAATTAAACAATATGCAGATGTTGCATCAGGAACGTTCTCTTCAAACTCCATTTCTATTTTTATATCCACACTTGATGACTTTACAGATTCGTTTTGTTTTGAACAATCTATTACAATTATTGGAGCTTTTGATTCGTACTGCTCGGGAGACAGTATCGGGGTGTTTGTTTTCCCGTAGTATGAACTTTGGAATCTAGCGTACATATCATACAAAACAGTGTACCTCTTCTTAGTGAAAGAAATATTAAAGTTGTCGTAAGGGAAAAATTGTGAATTAAGAAACACTTTACAATTTGTTAGTTTGCAATGATCGAAATGACCGGCATTAGCTAGTATATTATTCCTTTTTTTTGTTTGTAGTGCAAATATTACATATCTTGCTTTTTCCAAATGAGTAGATGTTTTTACAGTCCATGTATGTCTTTGTGTTTTAGGTAAAACTGGATATTCATGAAATTCCCAACTTCTGAATGGTATTACAATATCTCTATCTGATTTCAGTTGTCTCAACAGTGTTATTCTATGTTCGTCATTTAATCGCACATGTGGTACTCTCCAAACGATTTTGTCCAAAGTTAAATTCCAGTCTAAATTTGCATCAGTGGTTCCAGTT